CTACATAGAAAACTCCAAAAACTCCACTAAAAAAACTGCAAGATTTAATAAGAAAATTCAGTAGCTGGATACAAAGTCAACACTCAAAAATCAATAGCCTTCCTACATATGAATAACAAACCCACCGAGAGAGAAATTAGAAAAACCACACTTTTCATAATAGCATCCAAAAATAAATGAAATACCAAGGAATCAATCTACAAAGGATGTGAAAGACCTCTATGCTGAAAACTATAGTACTCTGAAAAAGAAGACTGAAGCAGGTATCAAAAAATGGAAAGATATTCCTTGCTCATGGGTAGGAAGAACCAATATATTGAAAATGGCTGTACTTCCAAAACTGTTATACAGATTTAATGCAATTCCAATCAAAATTCCAATAACATATTTCACAGAATTAGAGAAAACAATCCTAAAGTTCATTTGAAACCAGAAGTGACCTAGAATAGCAAACGCAGTTCTGGGCAACAAAGGCAAAGCAGGAGGCATCACAATCCCTGACTTGAAATTATACTATAAAGCTATTGTGATAAAAACAGCATGGTGCTGGCAAATAAACAGTCCCAAAAATCAATGGAACAGACTAGAAGATGCAGACAAAACTGCAGACATATTCAGCCACCTTATTTTTCAAAAAATGGTCAAACACATACACTGGAAGAAAGAGAGCCTCTTTAATAAACGGTGCTGGAAATACTGGCTCTCACATGTTGAAGATTAAAATTGGACCCATATCTTTCACCACACACTAAACTACATTCAAAATGCATCAAAGACCTAAATATTAAAACAGAAACATTAAATCTGCTGGAAGATAGAATAGGTAAAACTCTTGAAGACATTGGTGTAGGCAAAGACTTTATGAATAAAATCTTGATCACACAAGAACTATCACAAAGAATCAACTGGGATCTCATCCTATTAAAAAGCTTTTTCATAGCAAGAGAAACCACCAACAGAGTGATGAGACAACCCACAGTGTCAGAAAAAATGTTTGCTGGATGTTCCTCAGACAAAGGTTTACTATCAAGAATACATAAAAAACTAAAAAAAAAAAAAAATCAGACCTCCCAAATTTAAAGACCCAATCCAAAAATGGGCATTGGAAATGAATATACACTTTTCAGATGAAAACATACAAACAGCAAATAAATATATGAAAAAATGTTCAACGTCACTGGTCATTTGAGAGATGCAAATTAAAACAACACTGAGATTCCATCTCACCCCAAAAAGAATGGCTATTATCAAGAAATCAACCAGTAACAAGTACTAGTGGGGCTGTGTGGAAAAAGAAACTCTTCTCCACTGTTGATAGGAGTGTAGACTGGTACAACTGCCATGGAGATCAGTCTGGCAATTCCTCAACAAGCTAGGATTTGAGGTCCCATTTGACCCAGCTATTCTCCCCTTCTGGGTATCTTCCCAGGAGAATTAAAAACACCATACCACAGCGATATATGTGCACCCATGTTTATAGCAGCACAATTTGTAATAACTAGCTCTTGGAAACAACCAAAATGACCATCATCCAAGGAATGTATAAAAAAGATGTGGGCTTTTAATACAATGGAGTATTACTCAGCCTTAAAGAAGGATAAACCGGAGACTTTTGTAGGTAAATAGATGTTACTTGAGCCCACACTGTAAGTAAAATAAACCAGACATAAATGCATAAATATCGTAGTGTCTCCCGGTATGAGAAACTAGGAAGATCATAAATGTGATCCAAAATGTACAACAGATACTGTAAAATGGGAAGAAACTTCAAAAGGAAAGAGAAACTGATTTAGGGGAATGTGAAAAAAGAAGGAAGAAAAAAGCAAAAGGAAAAACATATATATACATATATATAAAAAAGATAGTTAAAACTGTTACACTACTAATTTCTCTCAGTTCACTTGAAAGATAGGCTTGTGCTAACATTGTTTGGACAATTAAATGCTGCTCATACTCTGAGTAGCTAACTTAAAGATAACAATATGCAATGTATTAACCACTGTTACTCTTCTATCACATTGTTTTGGAATCTTGTTGTTTTCATTTTTTGGTTTTGTTTTTTGTTTTTTTTTTAAATAAAAATAAATAAATACAACATTTTCCAAGGATCCACCAATTAAAATAAAAGATCAGATTATGCCCCTATTTCCTTCATTGAAACTACATTTAAAGGGAACTTAAAAACAACTCACCCTTCAATAGCTGGGGATCTGTCAGGACGAGTGCTTCCTCGAGACCTGTATCTCCGAGTCATTGGCAGCCTTGGAGGCCGACTTGGTCCCCAGAAGTCAGTATGAGTTTGATGACCCCTGTCACTGGCTCTATTATCTTGGTCCAGTGGGTTGCTACTCAAAAATGGTCTAAAATCTTGGAAAAACATTGTTTGATCCAAATGGTCCCACAGCTAGTAAAAAAAGAAGCAAATCACATTAGGAAAATGAACAAATAATGAAGAGAGGAATAATTTTTAACATTTCAAAATTCAGTAGCTCCAAAATAATAAAGCATGTTTCTCCAATTTCATGGGAGAATAGAGAGAAATCTTCAAAGTACATAAAGTATAGGGGAAACATGTAAAAATTGAGAAAATTGATTTTCTTCATATAGAAGTAAGCAAATTGCTGGCCCTATTCCTTAACACAGTTCATATCTACATGTCTCTGACCAGTTTCCCCTTCAGAAATATAAATGAGCCAAAGGTTATCATACACTTCTGTCCTAGCATAATCAACCATTCAGAACAATATTATAATCTTGTGTTTTGTCACAAATGATACTACATTCCTGCCAAGATTTAAATAAAATGAATATATTTATATGCGTATTTAAAAAGGCATCATCACCATAAAGATGTCCATAAAATATTTCCCTGGACCTGGTACCTGCATCAGAGATGGCCATGTTAAAGTTGTGCCAGAGCAGTGCAGGAACGCCTGATAAGAGCGTTCTATGGCACATACTGTATTTTTATCACTAAAATGAGGTGAGGCTGAGAGATCTGAGTATGGCAGAAGAATCATTAAGCAAAAGCTAACTGGGAAAAAAGAACTTAAAATGATCAGTTTTATTTATCTATATACTGTATATCTCAAAAGAGCTACAGAATAATTTTTCATATACTCCACCCACCAAGTATATAATACTAGCTCTATTAATCTGTTTGCTTTCAAGTTTCAAGTCAAACAGAAAAGCTTATTATTTAGTGTATATATAATAATAAGGACACAAAGCTTCTGAGCACATTACCTCAGGTCTTACAAGTCCTCACAACCCCTCTATTCCATGCTCCTTCTTCCAGAGATCCACACTGGGAGAAAAGGTTAGCACCCAATAGCATGTTAAGCTGACCTGGTTACAGACCCTACTCCAGTCTTACTCTACTAATTACCTGCTCAATCAACTCTAGAAGTTCTAGAGTCTGATAAGCATGTCAGTGTTATTTTTCAATCATTTTTTCAAGTTCTCCAGTTTTTATAGTTTGCTTCTGACTTTGAAAATGTTTCCTCCCTTTTTAAAAATGCAAAATACATGTTATAGAAACACAAACCCAGAATATAGAATATAATGTGCAATAGTCTGCGATCAACCTCTACTCCTAATTCTACTCCTGTACCAGAGGTTGATTTGAGATGCAGAATTCCAGATCTTTAAGTATTTCTGTTTTGTGTCTGTGTGTAATTTTATGTATCCATACACATGTATACATATCACAAACCCATACACTCAGCATTTTTTAAAGGTCATACTACATAAACACACAGCTACACATTTGTTCATTCAACAAATAATTCTTATGCATGTACCTACCATGTCTCAATTACTTTTTGGGAGTTGCTAGTGAACAAAACAAGTATTTTAAAAAATGAAGAGAAAGAATTATCTGCTCCAATAGATTTTATTCCTTAGTGGGAAGAGACACAAACCTCACTCACCCAAAAAAAGGAAAAGAAAACTACATGAGATGATAGCTAAAGATAACAAGGCATGTACTACCTAAAAACAGTTATTACCACTCTTTGCAGCAACAACATAGCACAGATGCTTTCTATTTTATATAATATTTAAAATTATCCTAATATTTCACATTGATACATGTAAAACACACAAAAGCCAAGTTGTGTTGAAGTTGCACTATAGCAGTCTAAGAATGTCTGATGAGTGCTCTGTTGTGTACATTTTTATCACTAAAATGGGGTGCAGTGGTTGAGTCTAGAAGAAGAACCCACCTGCAATCCCAGTTGGGAAAGCTAAGGCAGGAGGATTCTAAGTTCAAGGACAACTTAGTGAAACCCTGCCTCAAAATAAAGGTGTTGGGGATGTAGTTCAGTGGTAGAATACTTGCCTAGCATTCAAAGCTCTGGGTTCGACCTCCAGGGCAGAGGTGAGGGGAAACATGCACACATAATGAGTAAACAAGGTAAAAGAAAATAAAACATGTTCATCTCTTGCATCACCAAAGCTATGGTAACTCTTTATGCATCCCTCCCTTAACTGTCAGAAGCAACCCACTACGTTAAATTTTTTCATTCAGCAGTTTTTCTTATATTTATTCTATAATTGTCTATACCCCCAAATAAACTTCCCTTGTGAATTTCTCTGGCACTTGCTTGTTTGGCTCCACATGTTGATGCATATAGCCATTATCCACTCATTTTCACACATCTTATGCCATACTTGTAAAAATCTTTTCTCATATCAATGAACATCTAGATTTTTTGGATTGTTTCCAGTTTTTTCTATTTAAAAAGGCAGCTGTAAAGATTATGTGTCTTCTTACAAGAGTTTCTCTCTCTCTTTTTGCAGTACTAGGGATTGAACCCAGGGCCTTTGCACTTAGCTATATTCCCACTCCTTTTTAGTGTTGGTACAATTACTATATGGTCTACGTATCTTCAACTTTACCAAGTAAACCAAACTGTTTTCCAAAATGGTATACGTAATCAACTTGAGAGTGCTTAAAGGTTTCTATTATACCACATCCTAATAAGTACTTGATGTCATAGAAGTGTTAGTTTTCTCCAGTTTTTAACAATTTAGGGGCTGGGGATATAGCTCAGCGGCACAAGCGCCTGCCTGGCACGTGCGAGGTCCTGAGTTCAATTCCCAGTACCAAAACAAAAACAAACAAACAAAATAAAACAATTTAGTGGGGCTTTTATTTTTGGTGTATATGAACAAATAGGAGAGTATATTTAAAATGCATATTCTTTGGCCTTATGCCAGAAAGTAATAGCTGTAGTTTGTAGTGGGCCTGAAAGATTGTTGCTACTATTTCGCACAGGGCAGATCTGTTAGTAAGGAATTGTCTCAGCTATTGTTTAGCTCAGTATGTCTTGATTTCTCCTTTATTACTGAAGTAGATTTTGCCAAATTTAGAATTCTTGGTTGGCAACTTTTTCTTTTTTCTTTCAGCTAAATGTTTGTTTGAGTGCACTGAATATCTGACTATCTTCCAGAGGCTGATAAGCTTGATTTAGGTAACTTTTGCCAAGTTTTTTGATGCTTCTACTCTGCCATTACTCTGCCATTGCTCCAGTTAGTTTCTCTGACACTAAGGTTAAGTATCTTTGTATATTTAGTCACTTATATTTTTTCTCTTTCATGTTTCTTGTCCACTTTCCTCAACAGACTTTCTAACTGACCTGTAGCAGTTCTTCATATATTCTGCATATTAATCTTTTGTCAGCTGCATGTGTTAGAAGTATATTTTTCCCAATTGTGGCTCATATAAAAATATTTACCTAGAGATTCTTTTTTGTTGTTGTTGTTGTCTTCCAGTACCAGGAATCGAACTCACGACCTCGTGCTTGCCAGGCAGGCGCTGTGCCGCTGAGCTAAATCCCCAGTCCCTTCCTAGATATTCTTAAAATTTAATTTTAACATAGCACAAATTCCCCATGATTTGTGCTTTCTTGTGGTCTTAAATTCTTTCCCAACACAAAGCCACATTAAAAAGTTCTCTAGAACCAGGCATGGTGGCAAGAGTATCCCCACAAGTTGAAGGCTAATAGTGAGCCTGGGCTACATAATGAGTTCAAGGCCAGCCTGAATTACATAGTGAGACCCTGTCTCAAGAAGAAAAATCTCTAATAAAGGATGGGGATTTAGCTCACTTGTATAGCACTCACCTAGTAAGCACAGGACCCTGGATTCAATGCCCAGCACCACAAAATAAATTTTAAGGTTTTAGCTTATACACATCAGTCTTCAATCTATTACTTTTTTGTAAGGCCTAACACAGGGATCTAATTTGTTTTCCACACAAACAATTGATTGTTCTAACATCTTTTATTAAATAATTCCTCCTTTCATTGCTGATCTTCAGCGGCATATCTATCATAGCAAATTTGTATACATGCAAATTTTCTGGATATTTATCAAGTCTATTGATCATACAGATACCACAGTTGTAATTATTATAGACTTTATAACAAGTTTTGACATCTCACACATCGATTTTCCCAACTATGTTCTTTTGTCTTCAAAAATATCATTGTCATTTTGGCATTTTCATCTTTCACATATATTTTAAACTCACTTTGGTAAGCTTCCCCACACAAGCCATGTTGGGACATTTACTTTCAGTTGCATTGAATCTACCTATCCTGTTAACAAACATCATTAAGTCCAGAGGGGAGCTTGTTTAAAAAGGCAGAATCAAAAATAAATAAATAAATAAAAAATAAAAAGGCAGAATCTCAGACCCCATCCAGTCTACCTGAATTAAACTGACTGACATGAAACTAAAATTTGAAAAGCACTGTTATAGACTACCAGGCAACTAACATTTTTATCATATCAAGTCTTTTTATCCAAGAACATATTCCAGCCCCACTCATTTTCAAATTTATTCACGTCTCCTTTCAATAATTTTATTATTCAACAGCTGTGTATTTTTCTCCATAAAGATCTTACTATGCTTTTGTTATACAGTATTGCAGCACTTTGACTTTGTGTTGCAAATGGCGCACGCACACACACACACACACACACACACACACACACACACACACACACACTGAGGATTGAACTCAGAGCCTTTACCTGTATTATAACCCTAGCCCCTTCTATTTTTATTTTGAGACAGGGTCTGAAGTTGCTAAGTTGCCCAGGCTAGGCTGGAACTTGAGAGCTAGAGATCTTCCTGCCTCAGCTTCCCAGACTGCTAGGACTACAGGTGTAGATATATGTAAGGTTTTTTTTTTTTTTCCTCTTTTTTGGTACTGAGAATCAAACTCAGGACATTGCACTTGCCAGGAAGGCACTGTGCCACTGAGCTATATCGCTGGTCCTAAGTATATATTTTTAATTCTCTTTCAATACTTCATTATTGGTAACAGATGCATATTGATGTTAATGTAAAGAAAACTTGCTGAACACATTAATTCTATTAATTTACCTGTA